TTTAAATGTAGCAAATGGAATTTAAACTCTCTAGCAATTTGATAGCCACCACTATCAATTTCAAAAAACTGATAAACAACTGGTTCAGAATGGTCAGAAATTTTCTTTTTTTTTTTTCTTGAACATTTTTACTTTTATTTTTTTTTTTACTTTTACCACAATTTTTTTAACTTTTATTTTGAAATATTTATAGATTCATAGGAAGGTGCTAAGAAATATACAAGCGGGTTTCATGTACTCTTCACCCAATGTTCCCCAACATTAGCATGTTGCATAACTAACAACAGCTCAACATCAAAACCAGGAAATTGACATTTGTACAATCCAGAGCTTATTTGTACTTCACCAGTATACTCGTATATGCACTCATTTTGTGTGTGTGTGTGCACATGCGCTCTATGCAATTTTATAAAAAAAGAAGAATGAGAATAGCTGAGTAAGACAATTGTAGTGGGTGCTGTCTGAAAGCTTGGTGAATAAGTATATAAAAGAATAAAGGCAGAGCCTGATCAGGAATGAAGAAGTTACAGGATTAGAGTATGAATGAAAGGCAGTGAGTTTAGTTATTGTTATCTATTTTATTTTTATTTCTATTTCTATTTGGAATTGATGTCAAATAAGCTCAGTGATAAATTTTACGTTTGAGGACCGTTTGGAAATTCTCTTAGGAGATGATCATCTAAAATAAACCCAGGAAAGGTTGGAAGTTGAAGCACAGTGAATGGAGATAAATGAATATAAATGTATATAAGGCATTAACAAATAAAATTTATAGACATAGTAGAGATCTAGCTGTGTTTAGAAAAAGAATGTTATGAAAAGTGAATGTATTATATATATATGTATGTATATATATATATATATATATATATGCATAATACATACACGCATCTGCTGTAATAAATGCTTTATAGTTTAATTTACTTTTGATTCAGATACTTGGCGTTATATAAACAGCCTGGGCCAGGTTGGAATGATATTTAATATTCATTTCTCCTTACTTTCCCATGGCCACACACTATCCTTCTAGGGGATTAAATTTATAATCCCCCAAAAGAATGGTAAAGTGAATCACCCATGTCCAGTGCTTTTTATAAATATGTTGATGCAGTATTTTTAACTTTGAACTACTTTGTGCTATTTAAAAACCCTATTCAGTGCAAGGCAGTTGACTCTAGCCTAGTATTCTACTCGGTGAGGAGCTCACAAACAGCGAAATCCAAGTTCAGTTCAGTGTAGTAGGTGTCAGGCCTTCAGGGATCCTATGTGAACCAGACAGAGGCATAAACAAACACATAAGCAAGTCAGGAAACCTGTGAGGTCATATTGTGAAGGAAGTAACCCCTGATGAGGCCACCTGAGAGTGGCTGGCCAGGGAAGGCCTGTCTGAAAAGGCTAAGTAAGGTGACGTGCAAGGAGGGGCCTGAGGGATGAGTAATGAGGAGAACACAGGAAGCGTGTTCCTGGCAGTGGAACCAGCTGATGCAAAGGCCAGTGAGGGAGTCGTTTGGGTGAGTTCCGGTGACTGAGAAGAGGCTGGTGATTCTGACACAGGTCATGGGGGCAGAGAGGGTGAAGTTAGGGAAGCAGTGGGAAAGGGTTGGAATTGGATTCCACGAGCAATCTGAAGTTACTCAGCTCAGGTAGAAGAGTGACATAGAGACATCTTTGGCTGCTGGTGGGAGAACGGGTTGGATGTGGGGAGGGATCGAGAGAAAGAGGAAGACCAGGCAATTGCAGTGTCCCAAGTGAGAGAATGTCGTTGTTTGGTCTGAGGCAGTAGTACTGGAGAGGAAGAAAAGTGGATATATCTAAGATACAGTATGGAGGTGGAACACACAGGACTCTGGGATGCTTTAGAAGCAGCAGATAAAAAGAAAGGGGTAATCAAAAATGACTCCCAGGCTGCTGTGTTTTCTTTTTTCTGAACTGAGCAGATGGGTGTCTGGTGGTACCACTCACAGCCATGGGGAAGAATACAGAGGACAAGTTTGTGTGGGGGCGGGGTTATAACTAATTAGAACCCATTTTTCAATGTACTAAATTTGAAATGCCTACAAGTTATGTAACTGGAGCTAGCAATCCAAAAGTTGTATAAATGAGCCTGGAGTCTAAGAGAACAGTTGTATCTAAATTTGGGCTGTCCGCTCATGGAGGGATACTTAAAGCCATGGACTTATCTGAGATCAAATATGGAGAGAACGTAGCCAGGCAAAAGGCCCAGATCAAGATCTGACACACTCTAATGTTAAGGCTGGAGAAGAAAGAGTACAGTTTAGGAGCAGACAGAGTATAGGAGCGGGGAACAGAAGAGTACAGTGTTCAGAATCTAGAGGAGAGGAGAGAGTGGTCAACTAGGAAAAATGCTACTGAAAAGTCCATTGAAAAAGGAAAGAGAAACATGCCCATTGGAGTGGACAGAGGGACATCACTGGTGTCCTGATGAGCAGTGGTAGAGACATAGACCATATTGCAGTGTCTTGAAGAATTCATTGAAGGTAGTGGAAGCAATTTTTCCTAGAACGTTAGCTGTGAAGACAAAGAATTGAAGTTTTTGCTGAAAGACAGTGTTGGAACAAGGGCATATTTTATTTTTGAAACTGAAGATATTGGAATATGCATATACAAAGTGGACAATTAAGTTCGCGAACTTGTTGCAACGATGTTGCTAAACTTTTTTTATATCAGAGGCATTATTCATTATGAATTTGTACCAACTGGACAAACACTTAACCAAGTTTACTATTTGGAAGTGTTTGGAAAGGCTGTGTGAAAAAGTTAGATGACCTGAACTTTTCACCAACAATTCATGGCTCTTGCATCACGACAAGGCACCAGCTCACACAGCACTGCCTGTGAGGGAGTTTTTAGCCAGTAAACAAATAACTGTATTGGAACACCCTCCATACTCACCTGATCTGGCCCCCAATGACATCTTTTTTTACCCGAAGATAAAGGAAATATTGAAAGGAAGACATTTTGATGACATTCAGGACATCAAGGGTAATATGATGACAGCTCTGATGGCCATTTCAGAAAAAGAGTTCCAAAATTGCTTTGAAGGGTGGACTAGGCGCTGGTGTCGGTGCATAGCTTCCCAAGGGGGGAGTACTTTGAAGGTGACTGTAGTGATATTCAGCAATGAGGTATGTAGCACTTTTTCTAGGATGAGTTCGCGAATTTAATTCTCAGACCGTATATGCTGAGAATGGACTAGGATGTTGGTTTTCACCTGTGGCACTTTTGCTCCTCAGGGCAAACTTGGCTATGCCTGGAGACATTTTCAGTTGTCACAACTTGGGAGGTGGAATGCTACTGGTCCTCTAGTGAATAGAGGCCAGGGGTGCTGTTAAGCAGCCTACAGTGCACAGGACAGCACCCCCACTAATACCAACAAATAATTACCTGGCCCCAAACCTCAGTAGTGCCAAGGTTAAGAAACCCTGGTTTAGTAGAAAGGAGGAGCATGATGGTGCTTTTATGTATCAGTTTAATGTCTTATATAAATCCTTGATGTTAAAAAACAATCTGTTATCAGGGATTCAAATAACACCCTTTGTATTAAACAAGAAAAAAAATTTTTTAATGTTTTCCCCTCTTCACAAACTTATATTTAAATATATAACTAAGTACTCAATAAATTTTTATCGGCAGGGTTTTCATATTTTGTTCCAAGAAAATCTATACCTGTTCTATACCTATACTTATACCATTCCACAAAGATTTTTATTAAAATTTCACACACACTCACACCCCAACAATGAAAAGAAAAACAAAGCACATT